TTTTTCTTTTTCTTATTCTTTTTTGGTCCGGACATTTTTGCACCCCAGGGACCGGTCCGGACTGTCCGGGGATGTCTGGCGTCCGGTGATGTCCGGATCACCGGACAGTCGGGACCGGTCCAGACGCAGCTCCGGAAGACAGTCCGGAAGTGTCCGGCGTCCGGGTCCGGGTCTGGGGTTACCATGCACAACAGTCATTGCCTTCCTCATTTCTCTTCTTCTTCTTCATTGTTATCCCCATTGCTCTTCATCATCTTTATCGTTGTTGTCATCCTAATTGTTCTTCTTTTCTTCTTCTTCTTCTTCTTCTTCTTCTTCTTCTTCTTCTTCTTCTTCTTCTTCTTCGTGGACACATCATTTGAGACCCTGCTATCATCTCCAAAGAGTCCTTTTCAGAAAGTAGAAGCGAGCTAGCCAGCACCACAGATGGGGCCACATTTTGAAATGAAAAGACAGACCCCTTGGGATTATCCATTGGACCCCCACAATCCATTTTCAGTCTCGCAAGCAACAGGCATCAAGATCCTGGATGTCCACACGAAAAGAAAGCCTTAGTACTGGCGTGGTATTCTTAGTACTGGGCTTGCTGGCATCCCAGTCTGCTATTCTTTAGCCTTTTATGAACAATACCGTGGGTTCAGCAGAATCAGCACATCCAAGCGGCTTGTAGCCTTGTACCATTTTTCCTCCACTGGCCCTTCACTCGCTGAGCAGCCTCAAAAAAAAAAAAAACATGAGAACAACAATGGCACTATCTTTCCCAGGGAACATCCAGAATCGAAAATGAAGCATTCCAGATTTCTTGGGAGGTTTGGGGATACTGGACCCAAATGGATGGCAGCACCAGCCAAAAGACAAACAAAAAGAAAAGTGTAGCACTGGCGCTTAGGCAAAGCTTTGCGAACTGTCCTTTTCCATCTCTGCGAAATGAGTCTCGGAGGTAACGGCAGTTTAAGGGGCCTATCTCTTCCCTGCCAGTGTGTCCCTCACATAACCATCATTCTTTTTTTCCATGGGGAAAAGGAAAAAAAAAAAACTTTAAAAAAGAAACCAAAAAGCCTGAAAAAGGCACTTATCTCCCACTTGCTTCTGACATCAAACTCCCGTGTGTCGCCACTGTCAACACGGTCCCATTCAGTTCTCTTTCTTTCATAACGAATCAGAGGCTTGGAAAAGGGGGCCAGCGTCCCCAGCCATTCACTTCCTTTTGTGTTTGCAACACTGGATGGTATGATGCTGTTTTCTTCTTCTGCCTACTGTTCGGCAGGTATGATTTTGATGTTCGGCAGCGATTCTGTGAGACCCTTGGGACTATTGATAAAAAAAAAGCGGCTGGTTATGTTTTTTGTTTTGTTTTGTTTTTGCTGAGAAAAGCGACCGAAACCACCCACTACAGTTCCCAGTGTTGGTAAAAGTGGGAATTTAGTAGCTTTCCAGCCCGGGCGCCCGGGGCCCCCCAGGTCGCCCGGAAGGGCGCCCGGGGCGCCCGGCCGGGCGACCCCCACGGGCAGGCACCCGGGCACCCTCAGAGCCACCCCCCAAAAACCTCCAAAAAAAAAAATTGGCACCGCAGGCCTACGGCCCAAAGGGGGAAAAAAAATTAGGCGGCGGCCGCAAAATTTTTCAGGGCCTGGTAGACCCTGTTTCATGGCTGTTTTGTTTTTTGTGCCTTGGCCGTCGATCTGCGTTGATCCTCTTATTCTTAGTCTTTTCAGTTCTTTTTCTTCTTTTTGTTTCTTCTTCTACTTTGTCTTGCTCTTCTTCTTGTTGCTCCTCACATCAGTCTTTCCTCCCTCCACATAGTCGCCCTCTCCTTCCTCCACCATCTCCTCCCTCCACGTCAGTCTCCCTCTCGCCCCCATCCTCCTCCATCAGTAAACCTCCCTCCACATAGTCTCCCTCTCTCCTTCCTCCGCCATAGCTCCCTCTCTCGTCCTCCACATCAGGCTCCTTTCCTCTGCCATAGTCTCCCTCCTGCCTTCTCCTCCTCCATCA